GCACCTGGGTGGTTCAGTCGATTAAGTATCTGACTTGTAGTTTTAGCTACAAGTATGATCTCATGGGGCATGAATGAGAAGGGCTCCTTGCTCAGTGGGGAGTGTGCTTAAAGATTCTCTCCCTCTGCCCTTCCCCCACTCACACATGTATGCTCTCTCTCTCTAAAATAAATAAATCTTTAAAAAAAATGTGTGATTTTTATGGTATGCAAATTACACCTCAACAAAGTTTTTTAAACTATCATATTTTTTTACAAATAAATTAGCTCTAATGTACATTTTTCTTCATTCTAGTTATTAAAAGAACATGAACCTCTTCTGTTTAGAAGTAAATGGACAAAAATTAAGTTAAAATTCTTCCTCTGGTATTTTATTTTATCTGAGAACAACAATATAATTGCTTTTATTAATTAACATGAAAATCGGGGTCCTATATTAGACTTTTATCTTTACTTCTGCATCTTCACTTGATCACAAAGTCCTATGGATTTCTCAGTTTGATATTATGTTGATTTCTTTCTCTCAATCATTTCTGTTACTGGCTTCATTCAGGTCCCTATTTTATAATACTTTTATTATTTTTAAAATGTCCTCATTTGGTAGTTTCTAGATTTTTGAATTTCATGGAGCAGAAAAACAAATTTTAAAAAAAGAAATGGAAATAAAACTGCCAACTCTAATTTTGTCAAATAAGGCCAGTAATATCAAAACTTACCTTAACAACTACCATCTACTTTCATTGTATAAAACTTAAGTTGCACTGATTAACTTTTTTTTTTAAGATTTTATTTTTATTTATTTGACAGAGAGAGACACAGCGAGAGAGGGAACACAAGCAAGGGGAGTGGGAGAGGGAGAAGCAGGCTTCCCGCCGAGCAGGGAGCCCGATGCGGGGCTTGATCCCAGGACCCTGGGATCATGACCTCAGCCAAAGGCAGTCGCTTAACAACTGAGCCACCCAGGCGCCCCAACTGATTAACTTGATTAAAGAAAACTCTTTCATAAAATGCAGATACCAATTATTTGAAAATATACCCTAAGTATGCAGAATACAAATATGGAAAATTGATTGCATTAGTCAGTGTACTCCAGAGAGAAAAAATTAATGGTATATATACATACATATATATAAGAAGGAATTTATTATGGGAATTGGTCCAAGTGATTGTGGAGGCTGAGATATGCCATGCTATGCCCTATGCAAGCTGGAGAACCAGGAAACTGGTGGCATAATTCAATCCAAATCTGAAGTGCTCAGCATCAGGTTCGCTGATGATGAGCTGAGGCCAAAGGCCTGAGAACTGGGGAAAGGTGGGGGGTATGCTGCTGGTCAAAGTCCCCAAGTTGGAAGGCCCAAGAACCAAGAGCTCTGATGTCTGTGGGCAGCAGAAGATGCATGTCCCAACTCAAAGAGAAAAAGAATTCACCCTTCTTCCACCTTTTTGTTCTATGTGGGTCCTCAAGGGATTAGAGAATTCCCACCTAATTCTCTTTACTTAGTCTACTGATTTAATGCTAATCTCTTCTGGGAACACCCTGTTAGATGTGCCAGAAATAATGATTTACCAGCATTTCTGAGCATGTTGATGCATAAACTTAATCTTATCACAAATTCACCGCTTGTCAATATGGCACCCATACACCTCACTTTACACCATACTTAATCTCCAAATAAAGACAACAAGGAAGCCATAATTCTGTCTAATATAACTATCTTTCGTACAACAGAAAATGCACTAATCCCTTTCTCAGAAAAGGGTAAATTTATATTGCTTTTACTTTATGAAACTATGTTTGGATACCTCATTTGGACATTCAATTAAAGCAGCCCAAATTGGAGCTGAGTCTGCAGCTTGTTAAAGTCAAGTTGAAGCTATTTTCATATTGCTGTATTAAAATGGAAGCAACCACATTGCATGATATTAAACACAAATGAGAATATTCTGGGTGATTTTAGACAAGCTGAATAACAACAGTTCTCATAGATCCAAAGATCCCCCTGCTTTGGGGTGCCTGGGTGGCTCAGATGGTTAAGTGTCTGCCTTTGGCTCAGGTCGTGATCTCCAGGTCCTGGGTTGGAGCCCCATGTCAACTCAGCAAGGAGTCTGCTTCTCCCTCTCCCACTGCCTCTCCCCCTGCTTGTGCTCGCTCTGTCTCTCTCTCTTTCCCTCAAATAAATAAATAAAATCTTAAAAAAAAAAAGATTCCCCTGCTTTCTTTCTGTAAGGTTGAAGAAGTCAGCAGAATTGGTCTCAGTGTTGGGGAATCCTGCAAAGGAACTAAGCTCTCCATGCTTAAAATTAATCACACTCTGGTTACTGTAGCTTGGGGTGATGATGGTCCACTAGATTTCTCATGGAGAGTTCAGCAATGGATGAAATCACGTAACAGCTCCCTGATCAATTCCACAGTCCTACATCAACACTGGTCTTATATAGGTCACATAACAAATGAAGGGTTTTGGGATGGATCTCTCCCACCCACTATCAAAGGTCATACACAGTTTTTCATATTACCAATATAGATCCTAATTTAGGCACTGCCCTCTTTTAAATGTAAATATAAGACAGTCAGAAGAGCAGAAAATCCATTATTAAACAATATAGTAAAGGGATTATGTGTTACCTAAACCAAAGTTTTTCTAAGTATGGCTCACAAACCATCCACCTTAGAATCACCTGGATTGGAAAGAGGCTTGCCAGGTCCATGTTAAAAAAAATAAAAATAAAAATGGAGGTTACATTTAGTCCTATTCATTTATAATTTCCTGAAGAATTTTTCAGACTCTTAATTTTTAAAAGCTCCCCACATGATTTTTACTATCATTTACGCGTGAAATACATTGGCAGTAAAACTCGACTGCACATTAGAATCACCTGGAGTAATGAAAAAATAAACACAACTAATGTCTAGGCCCCACATGCCAAGATGTTGAGTTAATTTTTCTGATGTCAGCTCTGGGCATCAGTATTTTATAAGAACCCTCCAGGTGATGCTATTTTGAGGACAGCAAAGAACTGCAGGTCTAAAACTTGAAAATTGATGTTCACACAAGTTCCACTAATTCCTACTGCTTACATCTGGTGTATTTCACTCATCTGTATTACTCTCGCAGCCTTTAAATGTAATTGAGTCTACAGCCTATGAACATTGAGCACTCTCTGCACTACAAAGTGTAGCTTCTTGGAAGTAGAAACTCCAAGGACTAAAATCTAGACAGAGGTCAGGTTAGAGAGAGAGCATTCACCTTGGTGCAGGTGGAGGCAGATTTTTGAAGGGACCCAGATTGGAACCTGCAAAAGGTAGTAGCTGCTTATGAGACTTATTGAAGGGAAAGGAATTATCAGGGACAAAAAAGGACAATAAAAGTAGAAGGAGAGTCAAACAAACAAACAAAAACAACTTACAATTTTGAGCAGGTCTCACTCTTGATAAGAAAAGTAGACCAGAATTTTGCTTTGGGAATCTGAGCAAAACACACAGTACTTTTCAGCTTTGTCTCCAATGGGAACATCTTGTTTGTTTGTTTGTTTGTTTGTTTGGTAAGCTTGATGAAGTTCCAGTTCTTTTGTCCCTTTAGATGCTTCTACCACCTCATTACAAGAACGGTTTGCTCAAGGCATACATATGCTCACAGTCAGTACAGAGGCAGGAATAAGGCAACTGAATTCCTCCTAATCTAAGAGCTCAAAGTGGTACTTTTAAGGATCAAGCCTGAACATTACTCATAAGGGTGTAGCTTCCAAGATTCTTTTCTTTTCCTTCCTTTTTTTTAGTGATACACAATTAAGACAGAACCCAGTTTTAAGTGTACAGTATAATGATTTGGTATTGTCTATATTGCAAAATGATTTTTTGGTAGTTTTAAGAAAATATATCAAGAAGTAAAAACATTACTCCTTAAAATTAACCCTATTGTCTCATAACTTAATTGGACACAAACATTTGAAAACCTGAACTATAACCTTAATTAAAAACCAAACTCTTCAGCTTGGGAATCCAGGGTCTCTCATATTTAAGTCCGAAATTATCCTTTTAGGCATATTTCCCACAACTTTCTGCACTCTATTCTCTAGTCATTTTATTCTGGTTTCTTGTCTCTGCACATTCACTCACACTGTCAGAGACCTATCTGTCTTTAGCAAAATGTTCCTTCCTACAAAAAACCTTCTTGAGTTCTTCATTTGGCCATTGCCGAGATTTTCATTTTTACTTCTCATCAATTTTATTATGTTCTGAATTGGTACATGTTCAAATATACAAAGATTTGAAGCCAAAATTGTTGAGAAATTCATATTTTTAAATTCTCTTTGGCAGCCAATAGAAGAAAAAGAATAGACTCTGTTAACTTATGTGTCTATTCTACCTTATTTTCTTTGCTGTAGCCTGATCTCTTTTCAATCATGAATAGCTTCAGCACATACTTTTCATTTTGTCAAATCAATTAAAGCCTAACTTTGAATCTACTCAACACAGTTGTCATTTGCTGTTTCTCATATCCAGACATTATAGGTCTGTAATTGTGCCAAAGTCCATTATTAAAATTTCATTACATTACTAGGAGAAATAAAAAAGGGCACAATTATGTATTTCCTATTATCATTTGAAGGTTAACAATCTCTCTTCCTTCAATGTAATGTCTCTATTTTGCTGGGTTTGTTTGCTTTACAGAGAGAATACTATTGAATCACATCCTTTGGGTTTTGTTTTTGTTTAAATACTTGAACAGCTTTCTGTCGTGTGGTTGTGGGAATAAGCACATTGTTGGGCACGTGGTTACCTTCTTACCTCTCTGAAAACTCAACTTCATAGTACTCCTAAGGGTCGGGTTACATTTCCTAACAGAATACCTACTTCACTGACAAATTTTAAAGTACAGGGTTTAGATAGTAGATATCACATACAGACAGTTTCATGGTGGCATGAACTAGAATTTTTAAAATGCCTATGCTCTTATTTTCATGTTGAATGATACGAAAACCATTTTAAGTTATTCTTACATTTTGAGAATTGCACTCAGTGGTGTTGGGATTTTCTTCCTTTGTTATCTCAACGTGAGAGCTCTCATTTCTTTCAGGATAGGTTTGCTGAGGCTAGAGAAAGAGAAAGCGAGAAATAGATTCAACCAATAGATCCATGTGACTACTGTAAAATACAATACAATGGCAACATCACACTCAAGGAAAATGAATACAATGGAAATTTGTATGTATCAGAGACCTTAAAAATTGTATATAAAAATTCATTGAAAGTACATAAAATAAGTTCTGTTCAATTTTGTATTAGTGAGGTCCAATGGCATTATTTTCCCACTGGAAATATTTATTTCTTGCATAATCAGCTTTTATTTTAAGGTTACTACTTCTACCAAAAGCAGGAGTCTGTCTTTTCTCATATTTTAATTCCAAGTATATCTGAGAAATATAAGTGTACACTTCACATTCTCAATCAGAAAGAGAATGCCTTGTAACAGTTCACTATAATTTACATAGAGGATTACATTTACTTCAGTGCTTTACTAACTAATCAAGCACTGCTTCCTGTCTCTGGAAACTTTAAATATTATTCTAAAATTCATCTCTTTAGGAACACTAATATTTTTTAAAGATTTTATTTATTTGAGAGAGAGAGAGTATGAGCGGGCAGGTGGGGGGGCAGAAGGACAAGCAAACTCCCTTGCTAAGCAGGGAGCCCTATGCTGGGATTGATCCCAGGACCCTGAGATCATGACCTGAGCTGAAGGCAGCTACTTACCTGACTGAGTCACCCAGGAGCCCCTAAAAAAAATTATTTTAAAGGCAGTTTTTCTGGTTCTGGCCAGGGAAGGGTATGCATAATTAATATATGTAAATATCCTCAGTAGGCTGGTCTAAGATTATCCACTGAAATGTGTGTTTCTTGGGCAAAGCTGATTTGAATATGCTGTTAGGCTCATCAGTCTGTGAGGGTACTTATTGTAGGATAGACAAAAACTAAACTTAGTGAATTTTAACATGCTTGGATCTGAAACTGTGATCTCAGTGGAAGAAAGGGGCCTCTAAGCATTGGGGCCCCAGGAAGATAAAGACAAAGATATGGTCTGATCAAAGTATCCAAACCCATTCACATTTTGTCTGTGTTACTTTCACTGATTTGTTTTTCCATAGGCAGTTACATTCCTTCGCAGGGGAACATTCTTACAAAATAATACTTTGATAAAAATAAAAACCAAAGGTATTTCATAAAACTAGTAGAGTATTAAATGTAAAAAAAAATCCATAAAACTAGTAGCGTATTAGAGAAGTAATAGAAAATAAAGCACTTTAGTTGACTAAAATAGTTCCTATATTAAGTTACCCAAATCCTGGGCTTTACATATAATAACTGATAAACAAATAACTACATAAAATTCTTTTTTCTTTCCACTTAAAGGAGGTTCAGCTTCATTGCATGAGTTCCAGAAGGCACTAAGTGTTTTCCCCTCTCTTAGTCCCTCTTTCTCTCCTGTTCTTCCTTGCTTAAGACCCCTATCTTCTGATCTCCCCTCTGTATTTTCCGTAAAAATAAGAAATTTAAACAGGAAAACAAAATGTCTTTGAATAAGCCAGTACTCTGTATTAGATGTTGTTGGTGGATATAAAGATGAGAAAGGTGTTGTTTTTGTCTTCATAGAATTTATAGTCACATAAATAGCCCTAAGATAAAGCAGATTAATAAAAGAGGGCACAAACAAAATTGTATATATTTGGAGAGAATGGACGTTAAATCCATTTGTGATAATAATAAAAGACACGATGGAAAGGGAAAGCTTTAAAATGAGCCGCTGAGTGATTAAGGCAAGAATGAGGGAGAGCATTCTAGGTGAAGGGAACAGTATAAGCAGAGATATTAGGAAGAAGACTCAGCTGTTTTTATGCTGGTTTACAGGTAGCAGTAGAGTGAGCATGAGGAAAATGCTCAAGAAAAATGCTACAAAGTAGGAAGGAAGTTCCAAAATTGAGCAGCAAAGTATGCATTTAAATTTAGTAGCCAAGTCAGAGTCCGCTGGATATTTTAACGCAGGGCATATGACATGGCTAGAGCTTCTGTTAGGGTGATATAGCAGCAGTATGAAGGCAAAAATGGAACAGAAGAAAATTAGGGTGTGGAAATCAAGAAAGAAACAACAAACATTGATCAAGTAGATGGTAACAAAGGCTGAACTAAAGTATTAATTCTGGCAATAGAAAAGAGATTGCTCTTTGTTGAGAGCAAAGATTAGAACCTACAAAATTGAAAAATTCTATAGAAACAGAGAAACCCGGAGAAAAGACAGGTTTGTAGCAAAGAGGGTTACTTGTGTATTGCTAATTGAGAGTTCAAAGCACTTGTGACTCTTAATTAGAGAGGCACTATTCAATAGCAGTGTTAAATATATTAACATCAATCAAAACAGCCGTTTAATATAGCTAAAATCTACTGGACTTCTTATAACCTACAAATTACAGATAGTGTGAAGAAATAGGTTAAAAAGTACAGGGGGAATACATAAATGGTATAAGAGTTAAGAAGAGTCTCCCCTGGCAATCACAACAAGAATCACAACTGTAAAAAGATCGAGTAAATCCCATTAACAGGCAAGTAGTAATTTCAGTGTATTTTGTTTCTGTTGAACAATCAAATCATTGAATAGGGCGCCTGGGTGGCTCAGTTGGTTAAGCAACTGCCTTCGGCTCAGGTCATGATCCCGGAGTCTTGGGATCGAGTCCCGCATCGGGATCCCTGCTCGGCGGGGAGTCTGCCTCTCCCTCTGACCCTCTTCCCTCTCGTGCTCTCCATCTCTCATTCTCTCTCTCAAATAAATAAATAAAATCTTTAAAAAAAAAAATCATTGAATAAATAGTCCCAACATACCTTTGAAAATTCATTTACTATATAACAGCATTAAAAGAAATTGAAATATAAAATTCATTCATCATTCTAGAAATAATTATTTTTACTTCTCAATGTTATCTTTCAGTCTTTGTCCATAGCCTCATGCATGAATATTTATAGAGCCACAATTGTAGTGCTCATGACATATTTAGTTGTTTTTACACACATATATATGTTTTATCTACCTAAAGATAAATGTGAGGATATAAGTATCCTTTACATGTCTAAATAATATTTCATAGAATGAACTTGTAAAAATGTATATTTCAGTTAAAGACTTTGGTGGTTCTGAATTTTAGGTTATAATATTGTGAAGAATATCAGTCTTCTTGGTACCAGTTTGCAAGACAGCTCATATCACACTAGTCATTGGTTTAAATGTCTGACTCTCTTTAAAAGCTGGGAACCCATGAAGGAAAGATGTCATGCCTTATTCATTATTGCATCCTTTGAAGCTAGTACATATTTTGCACTCGGTATGTTTTGTTTTTCTTTTCATCATTTACTTAAGATATATTTCTTAGGACTAAAGGAAAATAAGAATTAAGGACCAAAACTAAATCAAGAGGAATGGATATATTTACGGTGGGAGAAATCTTTCCAAAATATGGCAATCTGAATTACTTCTAGCAGCATGAGTCAAAATTAATCGTGCATACACTCTATGAAAGCAGTGTGTTTGGAACTGAGATCAAACATTAAAAACATAGTTCTTGATCTCAAAGAGCTACCATATGCTCCTCATTAATTGTCATCATATCTTCTACCTTCCCAGTAGCTCCTAATTACATTCTGGAGGGTTACCTCGGTCATGGTATGGTGTTTCCAAAGTACTGTTTTATGTATCAAATTCCCTGACCCATCCAAGATATTGGCACATGACCCAAGTTAGGTAATGATACTGCCATTCTTAGAATATTGATTACATTAAGAGGAGCCATAAATGGCTAGGTACACTAATTCCAGTAGGGTGCCTTGTCCAAGTTGTTTCGACAATAAGACCCTTCCTTATGGTTCATACGTCCAGTCTTCTGAAGCAGCCTTTGTTTCTGCCCATTTCCAGATGTGTTACTTCTATCTTTTCCTTGGTACTATGAGCTCCTGATGTTCTATCAATAAAGTCCCTTAATTTAATCTGGTAAAGGTCATTGTTGGTTGCATGTAATCACAGAGACCTGGATGATACAGGGAGTCAAATCAATAAAATAAAACTGATAGCATAACATAAGGGCTGAGGTAAAAGTTTACCATGGAAACTAACAGGAGGGAAACCTAACCCAGCTAGAGAAGCTCAAAAGAATAATAACAGGCTCACCAATGATGGAGATTACATTTTAGGGTAGATATTCAATATCTTCCTAAAAATATAAATATGTAGCATATTAATAAATTTTAATGTTTGATTTTTTTTCATGCAAGTACTGTACATTTGTGAAAATGCTCCCAGATTTTGGTGGTAAGGCTGAGACAAGGAATGTGTCCAAAATAAAAGGTTTTATCTATCTATCTATCTATCTATCTATCTATCTATCATCTATCATCATCTACCTACCTCTCTGTTTTTGTGGGATTTTGTTACTTTGGACAGATGATAAAAAGAGCTTTATTAACTATTAAGTTCACAAAAAGCAGAGGAAAAAGAATGACAGTGTAACTTTTCTCCTCCATAAGTTTGCCAAGGCTACACTTGTGCCCACATATTAATAAACTGGGGTGCCTGGTTTGCCAATGTCTGTATCAATACTGAAGTTATCTCCATTTTGCTTCAGGAAAAAAAATGACATATATTACTTTCAACAACTGGAGGAAATGATACATTGCTTCACCAGTGTGAGCAACAAAGTATAAAAAGTTTGTTTGTTATTAATATAACAAATTATCAGAAAGAAAAATTAAGGGAGTGCCTGGGTGGCTCAGTCGATTAAGCCTTTGGCTCAGGTCATGATCCCAGGGTCCTCTGTTTCGCTTCTCCCTCTCCTGCTCCCCCCTGCTTGTGCTCTCAATCTCTCTCTCTCTCCTGTCACATAAATAAATAAAATCTTAAAAAAAAAAGAAAAGAAAGAGAAAATAAGAAAATAATCCCAGTTACAGTAGCATTAAAAACTATAAAATGCTTAGAAATAAACTTAAACAAGGAGATGAAAGGCCTGTACACTGAAAACTATAAAACCTTAATGAAAAAAATTGCAGAAGACACAAA